CCAGTCCTACCACAACACAAAGATGGGGCAAAGGAAAAACATTCTTATCATAAGAAATCATCAGTCCAGGCTTAGTTAAATAAAGATCTCTGCAGTATCTCAACCATAAGTGTCTGGGAACAAGAAGTGTATTATCTGCTCATTTTCCAGACTCCCACTTGACATGTCCACTTTCTAATATAAAATCTTATATGTGCCTTCACATTCTAATGTTATTTAATTCTCAAATGAATTCATAAGTAATTCAGACAACTTAGATATTTTTCCATAAAGTTTTCCAATACTGTTTTAGGCAAAAATAATTTTTGGAATAATCCATAGTTCCAGGAGATGATAAAACTGTTTGAACCAAAAACAAATATAGATATTAATGATCTACCGCAGAGGTAATTCCACATACGGAGCCCCACCTGCTTCGCTGAGGGGTTCTGCCTGTCGAGTGCTGTCTGAGCAGCTATGTTGGAGTAGTAGGCATAGGCAAGGGGTGTGTCCGGAGGGACGTCCTGCTCTCCCAGGTGATGCAGGTGACCGAGCTGCAGCAGCGCCAGTCTCCAATCTTGCTGCGCGGCCAAGAGGCTCAGCAGCCTGGCCTGTGTGTGAATAACCATCCACGTGTGGAGAGTGAAAAGCCTGTGGGCCAGCAAAGCTCTCGAAGCCCAATTTGCAACTTTGTGCTCTTGGGGACTTTATATTACGCTTTTTGCTCCTAGATCCAATAATATCCAAAATATCCAAGAGGCTCAATTGAAACAGATCCTACTCTTGTGAAGATCTTAACCTGAAGTGATTCATTTAAAATATCAATCAGCATAAAACTGTAGCAGCAAAGAGCAGAATGATGCTGATGCTTAAACATCCTGCTCTAAGGTATTTTCATATATACGCATGATGAATGTTGTGCAAATCCACTTACAGATCAATGTTATTTCATACAGTTATTGTGTTGGGTGTATACACCCATGAAAATGGTATGTACACAAACACAGTCACCTTCTTGGGTTGCCTCTTGACACCAAGACCACTGTTGTAGAGCACTGATGATAAGTACAGGGCTCTCATGTCACCCAGACAGCCAGCTTGTAGCAAAAGGGGCATGACCCCTCTGACATTCAAAGCTGGCCTTTCCTGGGTCAGCTTGCGAAGAGCTCTGGAGTAAAGCAGCTTACCCACTGATTTCAGCGTAAGTCTTTCTGCCCCTAAACAAACAATAAAAAGAAAACCACATTCTAATCTAAAATGTGGAGAAGCCTTTCGTTGCGATCTGGGGGAAGGTGCGGTTGGATATCAAACCCGGCTCACTTACAGCCGCAGGAAAAATGAAGAGACCACTCTATATTTTTAAACAAATCTGCATTTTTAAATCCTGGTTTAATCAAGGTTCTGCAGGCTGCTTCCAGGTTCCAAATTTCCAAGACAGCAGTACACAAGAATAAGGTGAAGCAGGAGACACTGAGAATGGTCAGAAACCAGGCAGGTAGATTGCAGTAGCAACGTTCTAATGCCAGAGATGACCGGCAACTTATCCAACAGTTTCTCATGAATCAGAGGATGACATCAAATGACCTTCAAAAGGAACAGGAAACACTAAGTGCATGTGTGAAGTGCACTGCTAGGATAGTTCATGTCAGGCTCCTAGAAACAGGACTGAAGAACCAGGCTGCAGTTTGATATATATATAAGACTAAAACAAAAAATTGTGCCGTGGTCTCTTAATTTTTTCTACGGCTGTATGTAAATAGGATGTAAAAAACTCTTTGATTTGTATCCCAGTATAATTCCAGAGCTATTTGTTATTTAGTCAGTATTTCTGTTAAATGCACAAATGCCCCTCATTAAATGCACAAATATTTAACTGTGGGACAAGTGTGGTTGTATGTGGTTGTTTTGCTGCTAGTCAAATATTTCCACCGGTTAGCTAACTGTCTATCCAACTAACTACCACAATAACTTGGTAAAGAACTTCTTGCCGATAATAGTCTCTGTGAAGTTTACAACTTAAAAGTTGATAACACAGGCCTTGTTTAAAAACAGACAGCACTAAATACAAGTGTAAATGACCACCAAGACACATTGTGATCTCTACACTCAAACCACTTGCCGAGGTGGTCTGAGATGCATTTGACGTTTGATAGTGCAAATGCTAATGCTTCCATGGAGACTTTGCAGTGCTTGTTGAGCAAACAGCATGGTTGACAGGCTCGTGAGGCGACATACATGCCAGTTTGGATGTGGGCACAGTTGGACATCCAACCACACCTTCCCACAGATCGCAGCGAGACATACTTGAAAATGTGAGTGATGGATTAGAGAGGAGCAACTAAAATCTTGGTAATATAAAACAATATGAAATTAAATTAATTGAAATTGAATGATAATAAAATGAAATGAATTGTGTGACCGTGTTTGGTGGCTAGAATCTGTGCAAGTCGGACAGCAGGGCGTCTCTGAGAGGTGGGTGGCGCCTCCCACAGCTCACAATGTGACATTTCAGGTGGGGGGATTTCTCGAAATGCCCAAATACTGTAGGTATCCATAACTCTTGCTGAATAAACAGGGAAGATAAGGACAAATCAGTGATGAATGATAAATGATTTGTGCAGATTCAGCTGTAAGCTTTAAGCCTGGGCAGTCAACCTTACAGTCTAAAGCCAACACTATTTTGTTTCAAATATAACAGGCCACTTGACATATTATTTGAACTTTAGTGCCACCTGGTGAACTTATACATTAGTCAGTTTTATTTGGTTTTCTACCGTCTTGTTGAAAATAATGCACAGTGTTAATTCTGGGGGAAAAAAGTAAGACACTGATTAAATGGTCTATCACATTTACACAGACTTACCAGATTGTCTGACTTTCTGTGAGTATCTTGTCATTTTCATATAAAGCTCTTTCTGAAACAGCTGACAAGACTCAAACCATCCTGTCAAATTCATTTCCCTAATCAGTTCCGGAACAACAATCTTTGACTACAATGACAAGCAGAGAAAACAGACATTTGCTGATATGTTATGCTTGAGGGGAAAGCTTAGAATAGAGCTCATTTAGTTCCATTAATATGTATGGAGTTTGTGTGTTACCCCCCTGTTTGCATGGCTTTCTTCCTGCTTGTCTGGTTTCACCACCCAAACAAACTATGTATTGATGCCAATAAACTTACTATTGTGGGAAATTGTGTGTATGAATGTCTCAGGAGCCTATTGTTAACATCTCTTCCAAGGTGTCCCTTGTCTCATGCCTTATGCTTCCTGAAATAGGGCTCAGGCTCACTGTGATGCTGCAGTGGACAAGTGATTATAGAGAAAAGATGGATGGATGGATGGAAATGCAAAGTACATCACTCACCAATGAAATTATTCTGTTGCGATAGTACAGAGAGGGTCCAAAGAAGCCTTCAATGCCTTTCACATAATTACTTCCTCCCAAGATGAAATGACCATCTGTATCATCCAGGTACAAAGCTTGTTTGAACCTGCCCAGGAAAGTCAGTGCAGAAGGTCAATCCTGCTTCCCGGCATGAACCAGCTGTGAAGCTTTGGTTCTAAATGACAAGCCCTTGCTCACCTGTGCTCAGCAGAATACACAGAGTGCTGTCCCCCACCTACGCAGACCATGACAACGTCAACCTGTAGGGAGAAAAGATACTAATCACAAGACCACACACCACCAAGGGGGGGGGGACTGAAAGCCACAGCACTCACTGATTTTCCACGGATCGCCACTTGGATGCAACACCACCTGCCCAGTGGCATTTGAAAGCTGACCAGGAAGGCTACAGACATCCCATCCTCTCCAGTCACCTGGATATGGAACTGGCCTAAGGACAATCGGCATGGACCGTGTCTCATGACAAAGCTTATGGAGCCAAAGAGGACATACTGTAAACGGAACAGGACATATTTTCTTGAGCATATATTTTTTTGGACCTACCGGAGCTTGTAAGAAAAATGGCGGGGGTGGAATAGTTCTTCTGATAGTCCACATGATGCAGCACTCCACACAAATGCTGCTTACAGTGCTGGGTGAGGAATAGCCAGATGGAGATCGTACACCTGCAAACAAGACATGATGCACAGGAATGCTGCAGAGTTCACTCTCAACAAAACTATCGCAAAAAGCCCCCTAGATTCTGTTAAGACTTACGGATTTGACTGCTCAGATCATGGTGCATCTTACCAAGGAGAAGAAATAGTTTTCAACCTCAGCTGTTCTAAGACCTTGTTTCTGTAATGATGCACAGCCCTGGTGATGCCAAAGTTCTCTCCGGTGGACGCAAACAGAAAGGAGAAGAAATGGGCCACCTCTAAGAAGAAGATATGCTTTTTTATGGAATGTCATTAATTGATGTTTTAAAGATCTAAAGTAAATTATATTTAAAGATACAGTAAATTTTCCTTTAAAGACAGACAGACAGACAGACAGATAGATAGATAGATAACCTGCTATCAATTTTTAAGGATACCTTGTTCTTCTGGACATTGAGGAACACAGTTTCTGTGAATACGCCACAGCAAATCTTTATCCCAGCGTGGGCAGAGTTGGTGCTCTTTCAATGGACGGCTGAATGGGGGTACAGGTTGTAGTTGCACAAGGTCACGGGCCAGGCTGGTCTGGTAAGAGCTCTGAGTTCCAAGTCCAATGATCCAGGCCCGCATCGTGACATCAAACAGCCAATCTGCATCGAGCATGAGCCAGTCTGCTTGGTACACCACGCTGTCGGGGAGCCGGAGGGTCAGAGCTCGAATTCTGGTCAAGCCTGGCTCACAGGACCAGTGTCTCTGGAATACTGGAGCGACAGTTGTGGTATCAGTTGACACGAGTGCCTCCAAGTGCACGACTGCAGATACAGAGCAGGCGTATTGGACCCGTAACAGATACTCAGACACTGGTTCATGTGGTGGATTCAGAAACTCCACCTTGTTAAGGAGAGGAGGCTGGATGGATTCAGTGGCGTTCTGCATTCGTTTGAAAGGACAGGAAAAAAAACACATGTCTGAAATATGCCCCAAAAAACCCACAATAAAAATGCTAAGTGTAATGCAGCTTTTAAGCTTAGCTCAGAATAAATGTGAACTCACCAAAACAGCGAAGTATATTAGTGGTAAAATACATCTATCCTTTATCCGCGACATTTTCTCTAAAAGATTTATACCTTTGAATGCTTTCAGCGACCCATGAAACTATTTATCTACACAGTATTACTGTACTGTCTAGATTTGCGCAAACAGAAATAAGCAAAAACCCACCGACGGTTAATCACTAAAAAAATAGGCTCACAGGTTCAAATTAGAAACTTGTAACACCGATCACCGAACAGCAGTAATGAAACAAAAAAAACTAGGCCTATATATTTTTTAACAATCCGAGTAGCCTTCAATTGTCAAAAAGACTAAACTTTTTCATACTGAAACGATCCATTAACATTTTTGTTTACTTATCGGCTCATAATGTGATCCATCGAACGTCATCCTTTGAAGTTAGGAGTGATCAAGCAGCTAACATCTATACAGAACTGCAGAATATCAACATTATATAGATTCACGCTAGAATATATTTCTGGATTAGTCGTGTTAAAGGTGGTTACTGAAGCAAACCCGGAATAATATCCTGCTTGAATCTCCAGAATGGCAGGTAAGGTAAATAGTGTAATGCATACAAAGCTCCACCCGCCTTTTACACACAGTAACCAATTCTTGATGTATAAATGTTATTCCTTTATATTTCACATTACTAAATTTCCATTGCCACTTCTCATTGTGAAGCAGCACTTGCTACAGTTGGTGTCTAAAGTAGCCTAGATTAGAAATTCAGTTTTTAAGGACATCTATAAACATTCGTGACTCTAGGCCTATATACTATATTTAGGCGAGTGCCGCGCATAAATTTAATAATTTTAATTAAAAATCCTGTCGCGCAAATTTTCAAGCGTTTTCAAGCACAGACAGCAGTTGGTCTAATGGCGGCGCCGTGCTAAGCGCGGTGGTCTCTTACCTATGAAGATCAGATCGAGCTCCTGCTGAGTGACAGGGGCCCTAAAAAATTAGGAAAATAACTGGATTGGTTTGGACTGGGGGTCCTAATATGATATGCTTTCATGGGGCCCAAAATCTCTAGCAACGCCCCTGCTACTACTACACTACTACTATTAAATTAGTAAATACATGTAGATGTGAAGGAGACAACTAATTAAAGATTTTATACGGATACAAATAATCTGGGCAACAACGCAATATGTACCAGGAGGAGAAGACCTCCAACCAGGGGCGTAATTAGCAATTCCGGACCCTCTGAATAAACGTCACCTTGAGCCCCTGGGAGCTCAGGTTCCCCTCGATAGATTTTCCCTAATCGGAGACTCCGCACGTTTTTCCGACCATTTCCATAAATAAAACAACCTTTAACCGGATCAGACGTTAAATCAACCTTAAATCACACCCATACGTGCAATTCAAACTGTTTCTACAGTTAAGTGTAGTGGACAATAGTGGCGTGCGATACTACAAGATTTGGTATCGATCCCATACCATGTAAATATAGGGTAAATATCGCTGATACGATATCGATAGACTACTTTTTAATAATTAAGGTGGATGTATCATCAAATTGCTAAAGCTGAATTAATTTTCATTACCTTTAAGTGTTTTTGCGATTTTTCTATTAATTAGTTAAAACCCAGGACAGAATTGGGGCAAAGTTTATGAGTAAATAAATACTGTACTTAGCGGAGGTACTGGCCTGCAGCGCGGCATGTTGGACTAATGCCAGCTTGTAAATAGTTCTCAGTAATCGCTTGTGTGATTATAAATGTGCCACGTGTTATGTCATGTATAGTAGTTCATGTTTATTGTTGTACATAGTGTGTGTGTATATGTGTGCTCGCGCCCACCGTGTGTATGAGGAGTAAACGGGACGACGAGCACGGTAGGCAGTGCCAGCTGTGGGTTGTAGTAGTATGGGTGTAATAAACGGCATCTGGTGATTAAGCCCCGAACTATCTCTGCCGTCTAATTATTGCGAGCATGGCTCAGCGACCTACTATACAATACTTTATTATAAATATTATACTGTGTTTGTGTGTGCCTTTTTGCTTGCCTGGCGCCGCTGAGTCACGTGACAGCAGGTGTTATGCCGAAAAACGCATCCCTGCCTTAGAATGCATGCCGGTGTTCCGACGAGTTGAGCTTTTAAGGGTTTTTTGGGGGTCAGGGGTTTTTTAGGGGTTAGGTTTAGGGTTTTAGGGGTGTTTTGGGTTAGGGTTAGGGTTTTAGAGGTTTTTCGGGGGTTAGGGTTTGAGTTATACAGGTTTTTTGGGGCTATTGATTAGCACTACGGTAGCCTTACTCGACAAAGTAGTTCAACTCGTTTCAGATCAGCGACCAATCGGTCATTTAGAGACAGGCGTGCATTCTACGGCAGGGATGCCTTTTTCGGCATTACACCTGGCGGCAATTGAGAGCCGCAGCGCTTACACAGACAGCCGCAGTGCATTCAGGAGAGAAAGAAAAACTGAAGTATCGATCTCATTAAACCGGTATTGATCAATATCAATACCAACATTATTATCAATATTATGGATACTTTGGTCGATCCGCCCACCACTAGTGGACAACTGTAGCCTACCACGTTAGGCACACAGGACACATTCGCATTCACTCAGTAATTTCCACATGCTTATTTACCCGAACGGTAAATGGAAGCTGTAATTCCCCAAGCAAATATCTCACATCACTACAAATAAGGTCAAAGCTTATGACGCTGAACCAGTCTGTTCAACCAAACGCAGTAACCCCACTTCCAAATATTTTGTCACAGAATATTAACAGTAATTAAAAATCAATAATAGTAATAGAAAATATTTAAAGACCAACATATCCATATACTTTTTCTGTTGGTTATATTTTATTCAAAGTGAATTCCTGAAAAATGTATATGAATGGCATACTACGTAGCCAATTAGAAATTTTTCAAATGATATAAAATTTGAATGACCTACGAGGCAGGAAAAGGAATAAAATTCAGTAACAAATCTATTTGACGCTAGGTGGCAGTATCACGAATCTCTATGAGTACAGAACAAGTAGGCCTATGTTTATATATACATAAGGGATCATTCAGTGCTACTGTTCTCTTAATATCAAGGCAGAATCACTTTACCTCCTGTTACACAAGATGATATTTGTACAGACATAACACATTGTCAGTCTTCTGTGTAAGGGGAAGAGCCAATCTGTGATCAGCAACACTAATGGAAATTACAGACCACAAGTTCACATTGCTGTTGGAATAAAGTGGAATAAAGTGAACTGCAGTTACTTTATTACAAATTCCTGTCTGCATCTTCCTGACAGACCTTCAAACACACATGCACAGTATTTTGGGCTATGCATTCATGTTATAAATAGGCAGGTTAGCTGCATGGAATGTTTTTAAAAGAAACACCATCATTTCCGCTTAATTTCTAACACAAATGCCTGATATGAGCGCATAAACCTCATGGGGATAAGGAGGACAGAAACACAAGAATGGTAAAAATTTGTCATGGCTGGGTAGTTTCCATTTGTTCTTACGAGTACAAAACATCGCCATGCCAATATATGTAACTCTTTGCTGTTCATAGTGTAGTTTCATACCAAAATGGTGATGTAGGACAGCAGGAGACAATGCTGTCTAGGACAAAACAAAGGCAAGGGATCTTTCATTCAAAATAGTTTATTGCTATCATGCAGGAGTGCCATAAAATTCCGAAGAGTCAAAGTCTAAGGTCACAGAAGATGCAAAAAGTCTTATTTCTTTTCCCCTTGTGAAGATATGTCATCTTAAACAGAGACCAAGTAAAAATCAGAAAGAATCAGCCATGTGGAGTTGAGAAGGGTCTCCCTTCTGAACACAGGCATTGCACTGGGTCACATGCAGGAGTGCAGGGAACAATGCAGCTGACGAGGAACACGCTTACAGAACAGACACACGCAAACACGCACACAGACACACACACACACACACCCATTAGTTTCAACGTGCAATAGTGGTACAAATTACATTTAAATAAAATGACCAAGAAGAGCATAAACTATAATAAGGGAAATGGAAGGAGAGGGGAAAAAACTGACAATTTCAACATAACCGTTATTTGGGAAAGCCACACCCCCCCCTGCGAGGGAATGGTTTGTTCTGCCAGCACTGCTGTGGTAACTGACAGTTCTTAAGGCAAGATGCAGGGTTCCGAAGACAGATTGATCCACTTCACAATCACACACAGATCCTTGTGTAATTTTGGCTCCAGTCCTTTCTTGAGTTGCACCTTCAATTCACGGTTGTTTTGTTAGGTGATCGTGATCATGCGTCTAACCATCTGTCCGTGAGAATCTCAGCATGAGGCTATTTGGTAAAATACAGCAAAAATATTAGCTTCCATGCCCTATTCCACACAAGGAATGTAGGGGACAGAGGAACACAGTGTATTTACAAACACCAGAATAACCGTCTGGATGAGAGCTCTGCCTAGCCAGACAGGGGAGCCCTCATCCAGGACACAAAGACACCCATTCTAGTGTTTGAAGAAAAAAATACAGCACTTAATAAGAATATCAAAAAAAAACCCTCCCCCAATAAACCTACTTCCTACCTTAGTTCCAAATTTACATGGCATCTAGGCCTCCCTCCCACCCATCATTTTTTGACGCCATAACAAATGTGACTTGCAGCACATTCTCTGAAGTGTCTTTAAAACACAGATTACATATCACATTCAGGTGACATTCTGGCGTGAGAGCATTTTCCAGTCCTGGAAGGCCATGGGAGGGGCTGCAAAGGCCCAAATGTTCTCCTTGTCAGCACCACATGGAGATATGTGGGCTCCAGGGACTAAGTAAACCACCATAAGAGTAATGAGACTCATATTTAACATCAGGAGGAACAAGGAAAGACATCAAATGTCCAACATGTTTTAGCATGAAAAGAACTTTGTCATTTCTTAATGGAACTCACAGAGTAGGAAAGGGGGTGGAAAAAATGTAACCTTTTAACCATTATGTAAAAGTTCAAATCAGAGACACAGAAACACAAATAGTATTATTATTAGAAATAAGAAAAATGGAGTGATCCCCTAGATTTCCTAAGTGTTCCCAAACAGACTTCAGCTACACCCTGCTATGCCTTTTTTCTTTGGGAAGTTGTTTGTTTTTGGTTCAGCCTTTTTCCCCCCCATTCGGTAACCAACACTGAATTTCATTAACTGAGTTTAGTATGACCACTAAACCAAAAGGGGAAGTAACAAACAGCAGTGGCCATACAACTTAAGCTGAAAAAGGACGAGAACCAAGCCAACACCAAAAAGCATTCAAATTTCAATTCAACCAAGGTGAAGACATGCAAACAGATGTAACTAAAACGAGAACACCATCAGGTAGGAGGATTCCTTGAGAAATACTGGCACCGATTCCTGCAGAATAAATAGCAGTTTACATTCCAATATATATAAGCTCACTGATTCCAATTTTTGTAGATATATATTTAAATCATTTACGAAAACAAAATCTATCAATTTCCTTGTTCCCCTCCCGCCCTCAACAGTTCATCTCAAAAAAGGACCAAAAGATCCTCAAAAAAAGACTTCTGCAAGAGAAAATCTGACATCTCTTTCAAAATAGGGGGGGGTTTGGGGGGGGAGGCTTGACAAACTGTCTGTGGTGGAGCAACACACTCCACTACTTCTTCTGCTTTTTGAAGATCTTGAATGGATGTTTCTTGCGGCTAGTTGTGGAGTCAGTGTCCTCCCCTGTGGAGCCACTGTCTTCCTCCAGGGGGCTCTTCTTGGAAGAGAGCTGGGGAAGGCGGCTGCTACCTTTGACCCCGCCGACGAGCGACTGTGCTCCGGTAGGGGAAGGGGTATCGGGGTCAGTGGAAGTGGGGCTTATGGAGCGTGAGGACTCGGACTGCGAGAGCCCAACCAGGGCACTGTTGATCTCGCTAAGACTGGCTGACTTCTCTATGGCATATGTCTTCTTTGTGAGCAGAGGGCTGTCTGGACCCCCCTCCAGCCAGGCGCCACCCTCTGGGAAGCGGTTCCCACCATTGGGGGTCGTATGAGCATGTAGGTGGGCGGGTTCATCTCCACGACTCGTGTGGGCATGCAGGAAGGAGCTGGGCTTCACCGAATGACCCTTAGAGCCAAGAGATGACGAGAGACGCAGCTGTTCACCAGACTGGGACAGCGACAAGGAGGAGTCAGAATCAGAGCGGTTAAGGTCCCTGCAAAGCAGACAGACAAACCAAATTATTCTGGGGAGAAACACACATAAAACGGGGGCAGGGCCTTCACACCAAATCAAACCATGCCTTGGCTTACTGATCTTATATCACTTTGTACAAACAAGGTTAGACAGATGACATCCTGTGTCAAGCCCTTGATACAGAATTCCCTAAAATTACTAAGAGACAGTAGGACTGAGCAGAAAAGCTTCTTTTGGAACAAAAGGGAGACAGAGGATGAAGAAAAGCAAAAAAGCAAAAGGTTTAGGAAAATGAACAGCTTCAAAATGAATGTTGATGTGTCAAAATTATTGGGGAAGGGGCAAAATACACAGGATTTCTACATGAACATCAACAAAACCAGAGGTGAAAATTTCAGGAAAAAATTTCCACCTCTGAACAAAACCAAATCGTAGTTACAAAACGACCTCAAGGCAAAAAAAAACAAAGTGTGATTAAAAATCAGTTAGATACAATGACACAAGACATGCGATGTCAAAAAAGGAGGGGGTACCCGAAGCTGCCGGAGTGTGGGGACTGCACCAGGGAAAGGTCGGGGACATCGGGGATGGTGTCCAATGGCTGGAAATAAGCAGGGTGATGGACAAGCAAGGTGGGCGGGACAACCATAACAGCAGCAGGAGTGGAAGAGGAGGAGTGGTGCAGAGGAAGAGGCGATGGAGGAGTTGGGCAGACGATGGAGGAGTGAGAGAAAGTAGAGGATAACGGAGGTAGAGGGACAGATTCGAACTGCCCGAAGGACTGGCTTCGTGAGGGGCGAGCGGGGGCCCTAGGCCTGGTGGGATAAGTGCCCTCTCCCTGGTGCCCTGCCAACAAACAGCTCTCTACCAACCTCTGGGAGCCCATAGCCAGCTGGGGGTCAATGTGCCGTTGGCGTAAGGACATCATACTGGGAGCTGTGGGCAAAGAGAGGGCATTTGTTAACATACCACACTCAAAAAGACTAAGTGAGTGAGTAGTGAGTGAGTAGTGACTGGCGTGGTAGAAGCAGAAGGCACAGGTGCACTGAGTGAAGAGTTCACCTCTCAGGCAAGTGTCAACATCAAACACCTGCTGAGAACCAAGATTCAAAGTCAGTTCTTTCATGCAAGAAAAGTAGGAGAGAAGTGACAGCGTCTCAGATTTTCTGAAAGTCACTGTGTACAACTGAGAACTAGGGTAGAGTGCTGCCGTTCAACTGGATGGCCCTACAGTCCTTGCTAACATCTTTCGAAGCTGACTTCTGTAGTCAAGTGTAAGGCTGTACAGGGTGACTTAGCAGGAAGGCCTATTAAACAACCATATCCAAGATACATCTTGTTTGTCTTTGCTACATTAGAAAGAACAGTCTTTAGAGTCTTCATAAAAAAACTCTGGGCAAGAAGGTTAGTCAGTGGTGATAGCATGTTTGACGTGGTTGGGGGACAGAAAGGTGGTCAGCCCAAAGAACAAGCCATCTGACAGGTAGAAACAGTCGCAACTGATCTACCTGCACCCCTCCCCTGAGACTACCCTTCACAATTTCCACCCCATGCGGATCGCTGCATGCCCAGTGATGCTCAAGTGACTCGCGTGAGCTTGGCTGGAGAGGGGGAGCTGATTGAACGGCAGGCAAACCAGAAGTGGTCCACAGCAAATGATGTTCGGAACTGACAGACCAGAGATCGCTCACTGGACGACCCATCTGCCAGGCGGCGTCTGCGGGTTACCCATCGTGTAGTGGAGGGTGAGGAGGGGCCAAAGGTCAAAGGGTGGGGAAGACGGTAGTTATTACGGACATGTATCAAAGCCTACACTGTGACTCTCAGCACCAGCCAGGAGTCATCAGTTGACAATGCTCTCTACACTGGGTTTCTGGCAATATTAGGAGAGAAACAAGAAAATACAAAGACTTCTCATGTTATATGTATCTAACGTCATCTTTCTGATTTAAGCTCAGTGTTTGTCTTGAGAGGACTTTCCAAGTCCAGGGGATGCTGACATAGGAAATATTCTTGGGTTATAAATTCCAGATCTGATACGTATTTGTGCTTTTGTCCCGTTAAGTGATGTGAGGAACTCACTGTTGACTTGAGTGCTTTGGAGCTCATTAAACATGATTTATCTGTCTGTCTTTCAAGACACCTAATCTTTAGCTAAGCAGTGCAATCCTCTTGCCTGGTAAGCAGCTGGTAATTGTGCCAATGAGGCGCTGAATCCCCAGTCCTGCCATCTTGATTGCAGAAGCATTGAAAAAATTTAATCTTATATGTACATTCTCTAGTTTTATGCAGCCAACATCCCTAATATTACAGGGAAAGAGAACTAATAAAATCAGGAAATTTGGCAGATAAGGTCCATTTGTGTCATCTTGCATTTCAAATGCAACACAAAATACAGATGAAGTGACCTATCTTGCTCTTTTGGATATATTAATTGAAATCACTGTACCTCCAATACAGTAATATCTGGAACGTAATTCCAAAAATCCAGCAAAAGAATTTACTCAATGAGTTTCCATTTGTGGCTTGGTGTTCTTGGCCCACGTGACTGATACATGATACAGAAATCTAACATGAGTAAAGATGTTATTTTCTCTTCCTGATATAAAAACAAATTGTTAAAATGTCAAAGGCTTATGATGTCAGCTGCGTGGATGTACTTTGATACCATACACCTAAACAGACATAGTGCTTAAATTTTTGGTGTAGTGAACAATGCAGCTGACAAGGAACATGCTCAAGGAATGGACACACAGACACACGCAAACACACCCCACCACCAAAAGGAACAAGTGTGTGAGAGGAGATGCTAAAATCTTCATGATCAACCTTGAACATAAAAATTTATAGACTTGTAGGGAGGAGAACTGGAGACTTTTGCAATGAATTCTTTCATGTTTCATTCTGAGAACATGAAAGGAATTGTTGTCCTTGGGACCCAAGTGAGAAAGATCTGTGTAGTTTCTCATGAAAACTGTTAAGTGAAGTCATCAACAGGCAAGAATCCGCTGGAATCAGCTTGCAGTGGGTGCTTACATTGCAGTGCCCCGGGAGACATGATGTCCTCATCCATATCGTCCATGTCGTCGGACATGATGAAATGCTGAGGTGTAGCCCGGCCGCCCACAAAGCTGGGGTCCAGGTTGAGGGCCGAAGCTAAGGATGGCAGCCCCGGGTTGTTGACTATGGTGAAGCCGGTCAGGACCTCTATCTGCTGCCAGCGGTGCAGTCGCTCACGGAGGGCAGCCGTGACCTCGCCCAGAGCCTGCCTGAAGGGGGGGGGGGGGGGTTACATACAGGGACAGTAGGAAGGAACAAGGCAGGCCCCACTTAAAAAATCCCAGGTCAGTGTATGAATTAGGGAGAGGGAGACTCACTTGGCTGCCAGAATCTTGTGGTCCACATCATCTAGCGAGGAACTGTGTGCCACATGAAAAGTACCAAACAGAGTGTTCCTCTTCTTCTTGATCTTTTCCGCCTTGGGAGAAGATACCACCCATCCATCGGTTAGCCTCAAACTCAGCTCATCGGCAGCACCCACCTCCCCCCCCCGAAGCCACTCACCCCCTCCTTGGCCACTATCAGTTGCCTCTCAGCATTCAGCTTCTTGATGTTGTAGTATTGCACCTCCACCTCATGCGTAAGCTGCAACCACTTCTGCAAAGGCTCAGGTGCCGACCAACTGCTCCGGGACTCCAGCTCCTTCTCAGCCTTCTTCAGAGCCATACGTACCTGCAGGACACACACACACACACACACACACACAGACACACGGACAGACACACGGACAGACACACACACGGACAGACACACACACGGACAGACACACACACGGACAGACACACACACGGACACACAAAAACAGATTAGGTATCTATATCTCTATGGGGACACCCTTAACCCAGCCCTAACTTTAAGTAACTACAAGTAAGTAACTACACAAAATATAAGACTTGCGGCATATTTCGTTTTTTTTATTGCATTCAGAGATTTTTTATAAAATTGAGGATACTCCTGGTGGGCACTGAAAAATAACAGGTTTGTATCACATTACAAACACATACAGACGCAAAGAGGGCTTAGAGAATGTGCCGAGACCAAAAGTAACCTGGCAAACAAACACTGTTGCAGCTGTCCATTAAGAACACATTCAAATGATTATCATCATGAAGATTTTAAGGAACGGCAATCAGAACATGAAAATCAGCTTTCAGAAGTTTCAAAACAATTATTAGCTGTAGAGGATGGAAGTGGACCAAAAGCTGTGTAGGCCAATAGGAACATTCATTATTAGTTTGCTCTAATAATAACTTCCAGTATGGGAATTACTAAATAAGGTAAGTATGACTGCTGCAATGTTGGAGAAAGACTAGTTCTTCTACCTTTCTTTCTGATGAGCAAGAACTACTTTACTAGTTCAATGCAGCACAAAATTCTACTAAGTATAGATTTAAAAAAACGTTCTAAAATACTTTAGAGACATGGTGAACTTAACCTTTGTTCTGTGTTAGTTTTCTGTTCCTATCTCTTTTGTTAGATGGGTCGGTGCCGACCCGTGTACTAAATCAGCCATAAAATACCCTCAAAATAATAATTTATCATCCAATTTGTTTCTTACCTCTTGGTTACTTTAAGCTTCCTTATCCATGAAAAGATTGGTTTTAGTATTTTTGGTGTGGCTTTCTGGACCTCTCTTTTGACAGCATACCTCTCGTTTTCAAAAAAAAATTATGGTAAAACAAACCTTAAGAGAATTACGTAAACAAACTGAATTCTCTTGCCAAACATGTCTGGGCTTGCCTTGCCTAGTGATTTTTTATTATTATTATTTATTTAGTTTAAATAGAGGTTCCTGATGCAGTGCACAAATTTGTGTGGTGCTTTTATGCATTTGAAAACTTGAAAACGGGTCTGTGCCAACCCGAACACCATTGAAAGGTTAATTAAAAAAAAAGTGAAAAAGCAGAAGTGACACAGCATCCCTTACTTCCAGCATAAAAAATAATACAATCTCATAACATTTCATAGATTATTTACATTTATATGCATTTAGCAGGTAATTCAGTCAAAATCAATGTGAGGCTAACTATACATTACAAGCATGAAGCAATGAACTAGGTACAAGTAGTATAAGATTATTATATAATGTAATTTCACTTTAGTTTGCCCATATAAACACAGTCTATCTTTGGGTTTAGACTCTGGCTTTGTTGAGCCCAGATGCCAGATTCTGTGTAGGTTTAGTTTCAGTGTTTGGCTCAGAAAGCAGTCTGTGTAGGTTTAGTTTCAGTGTTGGGCTCAGAAAGCAGTCTGTGTGTAGGTTTAGTTTCAGTGTTGGGCTCAGAAAGCAGTCTGTGTGTAGGTTAAGTTTCAGTGTTGGGCTCAGGCGGCAGTCTGTGTGTAGGTTTAGTTTCAGTGTTGGGCTCAGACGGCAGTCTGTGTGTAGGTTTAGTTTCAGTGTTGGGCTCAGACGGGAGTCTGTGTGTAGGTTTAGTCTCAGTGTTGGATGCAGGAACCCAGGCTCAGTACAACTGTTGCTCCAATGTTTGAAGGAGAAACAAACCATACTCACCCCAGTAGTCCTGCACAGACTTTCAACTCTAAAAGAGTGACAAGCCAGACCGTGACACAGTGCTACTTTCCTTTTTTGATGAATATTTGAGAAATATGACCTCTTAAGACATTATGTCATCATTTATAAATGAGGTTACTGTGGATCACACAGACACTGAAGCTATACACTCAGAATATAAAATCATCCTTAAAACTGAACACCAAAAGGAAACTCAAGGCACAACCCTGAACACCGTTTTTAGTACAAGGCCTTAGGTGGGGAGATAAAGACCAGGGGACACAGATGCCGGAATTCAATAGACATACTTGGCCTAGACTATATGCTGCAGACGGAACCTCATAGGCCTGCACCTCGTCAATGAGATCCAAAAATGGAGCTCTCCCTGCTCATCGAGGCTGGAAGAACGAAGTCTTACCTTATGTGACCCCCCCCCCCTAGAAACCATAGAACCCCCAAAAAAGATAGCCAAAGACACTTTGCACAGGATTCTAATTACAGAACAGCTGTTCCTAATACCAAGTAAAACCAGAGGATGAGGGTAGAGCCACAGCATGATGGAATGGAGGATGTCGGGCATTAAGCAGAGTTTACAAACCACACTTCACTTCTGTTTTGAGAATGTCGACATGAAGTCCTATCCCTCACAGGACAGAGCAGATGCTCGCTCCTTTGCAGCCTCAGACATGACACCCATTCAGCTACATTATTTCCCAGCTCACCTCATCTGAGCCCCATTCAGATAACATAGGAACGCTGCTGCGATCTGTTGCCTGATAAGGACGCGTCACCCATATCAGTCAATGTGGAACCAGACCCCCGCTCCGGCCTTCAGGCTCTTCCTGCTTGATCCCAAAGGGTGAGAATTAGCAGGAGCTACTGATACTGGCGGCAACTCTTTGGATAAGTAGATAAGCAGATCCTCCGCATTGAGATTTTACACAAGGGTCATTGTACTGTGTTCTCCAGGGTCTTTTTCGTTCTGCTCATAGTATCCGCACTCCGCATTCCACATGCTGTCCATGGCCTCGACCATCAGCCACGTCCCCAAAAACCCCCCCACTGTGAGCATGTAGTACCTGATCGAGCTCCTCCTCGGCGTACTTCTGCCGGCTCAGCTCGTTTTCGGTGCCTTCGCGTAGCTCCTTCAGCCGTTGAGCTTCCTGCTTGGCTGCGTTGATCTCATCTCGTAGCTTCTGCTCCAGGTTGACCTTCTCTACCTCTACAGTTCGGTGCTCCTCTTGTGCTATCTGCAGCCTTAGCACAAGACAGAAAGAAGTAAAGCATATCCTATAAAAAAAGTCAAATCCCAGGCAGGAGTTAGCACAAGCAAGGTGTACACCCTGGATGGGATGCAAGACCAAGCAGCTCATAGAATATGAAATAATTTGCACAACTTGTCCCAAAGTATCAAGATCCTTTTCTACATTCATAACCATTTGGTGCTATTATGGTCCACATGACATTTTATTTGCAGCTCATAATCTGAACACAATAGCTTCTTGCACCAGTGAAGATGATCTACTACTGACACCCAGCTAGTTAAGACAAACAGGTTTCCAATGCTAAGAAGCCAAATGTCTATTGCTTTTACATACAATAAAACGTACAGGCATTCTAAAGGAACACAGTGGCCATGAAGAGAACATTCCAGAATGGAGGAAATGCATGCTCCAGATTAGAACTCCCACACAGTAAATCACTCTACTGTTATGGGTGGATGAGTATGATAAGGAAATAAGTATACACTTCACTGGGTGGGGGCATGTAATGAGTAACACAGTAGTCCAGACTAGGAAGCAAGTCACCTGGAAGGAGGAGTCCTATGTTAAAGACATTATAATTGAATATAAAGGTGTGTAATTACAGGATGAAATCTTCCACGCAGCTATGACGAAGGTACAGTTTAGACACAAAAGCCATCATCTTGGTTTACAGGAGTTACCATGGTCACCCATGACAAACTGTTCCCTCAAGAAGAGTGCAGGCACCCAGAATGTCTTTATCTAAATGGAACGGGGCTGCACTGACAGGGACTTTACTTACTGAGGGAACAGCGGAAAAGCCCTATAAAACAAGCCAATCCTGGAGAGCTGTGGGAAATTCAGGACAACTTTTAACTTTCTAAACGACAGTGAATTTCCCAAAACTCCACTTACTAGTAACAGTCGGTATAATTTCACTTGCCACTAGGTTTCCAGCAGAAGTATTCAAACAAGAGCCCGTGAGGAGGGCAACAGAGGGCTATAGAAAGGTGACACCCAGGCTGACACCACCCCCCCCCCCAACACACACACACACACACACACACACACACACACACACACACACACACGACCTCTGCCACCCAGTAAGTGGAGATGCCAAGGAGTTTTCTTAGAAGGCTTACAGCTCCCCAAGCGTCACAGCAACCGTGGCAGAACTTCAACTGCATTAACACTGTTCAGACTTTTACCAACATAAACTCCTGCAGGAGAGTTACTGCAAATGCTAGATATTAACCTCCCCATTCGCTCTCCACCCTGGTAATCTCATCGTGGACTTTTTCTGTCTTACCTTCTTACTCCGGTGTTATCAAAGTTTACCGACATTGCAAACTATGCCATTTGTCCTGCTATTGGCAACAGCAGGTTAGGTGAAATAAGGAATTTTGAATTTGTCCCATTCCGCAAAATAATAAAACCATATTTACAAATCTTTGTGTTCTGCCTGCAAGTTATCACACCTGTTGGGTGACTGTCTCCCCGTGCCCTGAAAGCCTCTTCACCAACCAAATCGAGTAATTTCATGCATAAATGTCTGACATCAGAGCTATTAGCGAAAGAATATTGTGAATCAGGGAGAGATTCTGTTTCGTTGCATCACCATGGCCAAACGAAGGTATTCTGAGCATCATTTTCAGCTACTTAAACAGAAACAGAATATTTGGGTTCACTTCAACAGCAATTTAAATTCAGCAATAAGAATACATCTAGATTTAAATGGAGGACAAAAACAAAATTAACGAATGAGAAGACAGAGCGATTTATTATTCTGCAGGGACTCATTTTAGGCGTGGTGCCGTGGAGCATTCCCAAGGCTGCATGGGGTGATTAAACTCCAGTGCAGCACAGCTGACTGACAGCCCCAGTGGCAAACGTGTGTCACCCACCACAGCGGGCTGGAAAGGGCGAGGCTAAACATTAGCAAGAAGCTACCCGCGAATATCGCACTTAAACGCCTGATGCGTCTATCCCTATGATTTAGGGCAATTTATATTCCAAACAGACAGACACACATACTGTAATTTTAGCATTCTGTCAGAAAAACAACATGTTTTTGTTCATCTCATGAAACGCAGCAAATGACTATTAGACTGTTGAAACTTTTATCGTAAACAGGGTGACATAATTAGACATGCTCCATCTACATGTGGATGCTACTCTTGTGGGGGAACATTCTTTTCTTTACGAAATGCGGTGTAACATGCAACAAGTTGCTTCATCTTTGACACCACCTTGGCATTAATAGAAAAATAAAGCACAAAATCACAACTCAACAAACATGAACCGCAGCTCTGCCAGCATGCCGTTCCCCAGCCCTGCCTTAGCCTAATCCCTCCTTAGCCCTTTCTGCCAGGAGGAGCTAAAAGAAGATGACTCTGCTAAAGGGGCCACTTGAACTGGACATGGGATCTGCCTGAAGGCTCAGCCAAGCAGCAGCTGAACCCTGAGCTCCGGGGACCAGAACTCGACATGCCGAGTGACAGACCCATGCCATGTGCAGTCACCACAGCAACGGTGACGTCCCGTGCATGGGCGGCCGGCCGGCTTCCTTCCTACACCTAGAGAAGGGGTTTCCTGTTTACTAGCACAGCACTTAGTTCCACCTGGCGAGTGCCTTCAAACAACATGGGAAAGTTTCGTGTAATTGACCAATCATCAGGAGGATGATGCATCAACAAACAAATCTCCCTGGCCAGTTGAATGAGTAGAGCCAACCAGAAGTACATCTGAATTTCCCCGTCCTAGTGGCTAACAAATAAAAAGCAAGCTAAAGGAAGCTAAAAGAAAAAAATTAGGCAAGTAAAGTAAAGGAAGCACTGGTCAAACTTCAAAGGAAGCAGAACCGAGCCCCACTGGCCTGTAACAGGAAATGTGGTGCAGGCGGATACCAGCAGCAAAAACCGACAGCTGGACCTCCTTTCCACAAGACGGGCCCCAGCAGCTGCCGGAGGCAGGCGTGAGGAACCCGTGCGAGCGCCCACACCTAGGCTGTTCCTGCGCTGCACGGAGAAGGGGAATTATCTAGAGGAAGACACACTGACCCACAGACTTTCAGCTGGAAAACACAGGAACTCTACTGCAGGGACCGTGCATGAAGCATGAAGAGACCCCCAATCCGTGTCTCCTCTGGCTAGTTGCATAATGCTATTAACGTGCTCCTAAAAATAAGGAGTGAACCTCATTGTTCACCGCAATCAGATCAGATTTAAACAACGAACGATCTCCTTCATTTCTTCTCCATTTAAGGTATCGCGGCGAGCCGAATCGGTCAGATGACCCCCACGGAAACCCAGGGCTGCGATCAGCATACTAAGCCTCTCGCTACACGGCAGTCTGCCTGTGGCATGAGGCTCTCACATCTGCCGCTCTTTGTTGTTCTGGCCCCCATGGCAACCAGACTCCCACACCACCTTGCACAGAGATGTGGAAATAGCTTAACTAAAAACTGCATACAGAAAGAATGTGACAAATTAATTTATGAAATGGACTGTCTGTTAACAGCTCAGGGTTCAGCAAAGGTAAGATCGTATTGATGTGGATGCCCCTTTAGTGAGATCTATCAAGTGCAGATATTCATTAAACATGACATTTTTCCAGTATACTGACCATAAGTTACTTCCATCATTAAATTTACAAGACAGTAAACCTACCTGTAATTGGACCCTTACTGAACTGAAAATGAATAGAACGTAATCTGGACCGCAAAGGTGATGTCAATGAGGAGCCCAACAACCACCCACTCGAGACCTTCCCAATCCAACGAGCAGGTCTGCAAACTCACTTCTGCTGCAGGTCATGTAGGCTCTGCTCGGCCCGTTGCAGGCCCTCCAGATCCTTCATCATCTTGCTCATGTGGTCCTTGGAGTAGCGGTTCTGGATGTAGGCGAACCAGCAGCCGCCCATGCCAATCACAATAGACACCACTAGCATGAAGTCCTTCAGATGGCTATGTCTGTTCACTGTAGGAGAAGTGGGGGGGGGGGGGGCCCAAAGAGGGAGGAACCTCATTAAGAAAGCTTTGTTGCAGGACAGGTCTCTCCCTGTCACAACCAATAATGAGCCAGGAAATAGAATTTGGTTTTATAAAAGCTATGCAGTTAAGAAGGTGATAACACTTGGATTTACATTCTTGTGCAAAACAAAGTTAATAACTATTATCCTACAATACTAATTGCTAAAATAAATCAAATGACCAGAAGAAGCTGGTGCTTCACTGACCACAAAAAAAATAAAATAAAACACCTTACACTTCGCATGGTGAGACAGGAAATGACGCCGAAATGAAACCAAGGACAAATCACCCATCACCGAGGGCAGCCAAGTGAGGCATTTCCGTCGCAGTCAGGGGGCACCGCATATCACGACAGCTAAAGCCAGATTAGCGGATTATTTCCATCTGCTAAAGGCCCACTTGTGGGTGACTGGCCGTGGAAGCAATGAAAATAGGGAGTCGACATATATGACCGAGCCCTAGAGCTCCACATCTTCTACCCTACATAACTCGTTTGATAGAGAACACGCACCAACCTGGACCGGCCCAACAGAGGTGTAAACACACACATGCCTATGTCTCCCAAATTAAAAGCTTCACACTACTGACTAGCCACTTTCATCTCTTTCTACTACAGCCTTTTTCCTCAGTGTCAGGGGATGCCTCCCTAGTGGCGACTGACACGGAATCATATTGCAGACAACGAGACAGCTCTTGATTTATACTGCTATCAAGTCATTCTCACCCCCAATTTAAACATCGCAATCTTGTGAAGTGTATTTTTCCACATAAACATCGCCATTCTGTCATCTAGAGGGCATCTAGCATAAGTATCATCATCATCCTCAACCCACTCTGTTTGTTCACCAATGTGGAAGAAAAATTGGAACCAACTTCTCCAATAGCTCCTAGTTAGGCTACTTGGAATAAAACTCCGGACCTCACAGTTGGTGCACAAAGTTTTCTCCTTTATTCAGCAATCCTGCACAGCACTCCAGTCACACTCTAGTAACCAGGTACCCCAAGCACAAAGAGCAACCTGCTGATAAACCATAAGACCCAAGGACTTAAAAGTCCTGAATGGACACAAATTATTAACAAACAAAACAAAACATTCAACAAACATAATTCTCCACCACTATTGGTCTACCTTAGTATCAGGGTAACATCCACCCATTTTGCCCATTTTCTCAAAACATACTATTTTTCTCTGCTGCTAGACTTGGATATGGATGTGATGTGGATATGGATATACTATACTACGAATATATTGATGCACAACTACGGATACATGATCCTACTTAATCCTACTTATGCGTGTGAGCTACCGTATAACATATTGCGGGTAACATACTGCGACTACTCTAGATCTATGATATTCTGTACTCCTTTAACCAGTTAAGATTGCTTCGATTCCCTTCCTTTCCCTTCCTGCAGATGCATATATTTACAGTACCGGCCTGAGTGGTGAAGCGAGAGGTGAAGGAAGCTGTGGCAATAAGGAAAGGCAGAAGTCTTATTCATCATCCTTTTCTTCCAGGACATTGCTCTGCATATGCCTGCTGCTAAAACCTAATTTCCTGCTCACTCTTTCAGGCTTGAAACCAGACATTCAACCCCCTCTGCCACCAATACAAAGGTACAGCACCAAAACAAGCTTCATATTTTAATGATGGATAGTGGTGCGGCTGCATCCTGTTAACGAACATGTCCCACTCTCTACCTGGAATCTGCGATCCTTCACACGGCCCTAAGGACCAGAGCGTGAGCCAGGCATCCATCACTGTGATATTTACCAGGCGAGCTCACAGCAACCATTCGCTCAGATAGAGGGCGCTGGGCCTCCGCAGCTACTCCTGCACCACAGCCACCGGAGAACCAGACGCGGCATTCCTATTCGTAAAGGAAAGGCCTCGCAAACCGAGCCAAGACGAAAGGAAGAGGGAACACCGGCGTTAATTAAGTGAGACCAGCTGACGGCTCACACAATTCCCTGCGTATAAGTGCTGCATCAGGAAGTTGCCTGCGGCCGACAGGATGTCAAAGCGGACATGCCTTACGACTAATTACACTATCACTGGCTTATCAGCGATTTGACTAATTACAAAGCCAGCAAGGGGCGTCCTTCAATTTTTGCCGTTACCCATGGGATAGCGGGGAGGCTCTGACAGCAGTCCCCATTTCGAGTTCACTTCTTATTCATGGTGCCCAGAACAGCTGCTGCAGTGGGCCAGCCCATCCCTGTCTGTGTCAGTTGGGAGTCCACAGCCTCTCGCTAATGCTGTCACTTGCAGACTGCCCCCCCACCCCTCCCTGGACACTCTTGGACCAGCCCTCCCCCACCTTTGTGGGGGCAGCCAGCTGGGACACTTCAGCCAGCGGGAAATGAACAAAGCAGGCTCCTGTCATTCTGCTTCTTTCATCTTTTTCAGAGACACTTCTCTTCCATACAGTCTCCCCCCTTAAAGTCACTGCTCATCCCCTTTAATCTTTTGTGTTTATTAGTTAATCTCTGCTCTACTTTATTTGTGGCTCTCACTTTAAATATTAAATCTATTAAAAAAGAGGTAAATGCTCCTTAATCTTGAGTTACATTCGTGCTCTGTAAAATCTCATGGTAATTTCCTCTATAAGGCATTCATTCAGGACGATGTATCCCGGTCTGAGCAAAAATACACAAAATAAAGCAGGGATATTTACTGGATGATTACAAATGACTCATCGAGTTTTCTGGCCTTGATACAGCACGGGGTAATAGCCTGAGCCCCCTCGCCGGTGGGACAGTACCGGTATCACGGAGTCCTGGCATACTGCTTGAGGACAAGCAGGAAATGACAAGACAGAGGCAAGGAGCAGGGAGAGTCTAACCCTCCTGCGAGTGACCTACGACCAAGGCAGGCGGGGGTGGCGGTTTCGGTGCCAGCGCGCCAGTGGAGCGTGCTCTGCATACAGAGAGGCTCCGGCTACAGGCAGTTTCTCCCCGAGAATCTCAGGCACCAGAAGGACAGGGGAGGGCACCGCCTCCGGGCCGGCTCGCCTAGGCCGACGACCACTCCTGCACGTCACTCACTGAATGCATTTCTATTTTGCTGTTTGTGGAATCTTTTCTGTTTTTACTTTGCCAGTAAACCTGTCAGAAAGACTAGACCTACACAAAGAGATGGGAATGAAAATAAAGTTACAAATAAAACAAACAAACAATCTGGCAGACTGGCTTCATCTTTAGCAGATACCATTCCCGTCAAAAAATCATCCTGACGCTACAAGGACCGCCGTGCGCCTCCCAGGAAGCCGCTCCCGTGTTTCCCAGCAGCCTGTCGGAAACATGACCGAGCGCCATGGACAGGGCTGAACTCTAATGACACGTGCCAGTCACAAGTCACATCCTTCCCCTTTCTGCACCAAGGAGATAAAGGGAGTGTTAGTCAAGCAGCCTCAGGAAATACGACGCATTATCTGCCTCGTCCCTGCGCCTCTTTGGCATCTGAGAAATGTACAAATGTGAATGAAACGTAGATTAAAATAAATGAGTGAAACAGAAGCCATGGTCCAGCACAGCCCATAAAACATCCCTCTTTCTGGCACTTTCTTTTACTGCTTCACTATTTTGCTCCAACACAAACATTAGGATGTTGCTTCCCAACATAAAACAGGCGTTTTAAACTTCCGAACCATCAACAACTGCAGCGTATGAGTGCTGATCCTCTCCAGCACCAAAGAGCACCAAAGGGGGGGGGGGGGACATAGTAAAGAAGGTAGCAGTTAAACCCAGCCCCCCCCCTTTTAGCCCTTGGTATAGCGAGCCACTTACTGAGCGGAGCGCCGAACAGCACAGTGTCTAGAGCCTTCAGGTGCAGCTTCTGAGCATGACGGCGGTCCAGGATTTTCAGCACCGACTGGGTCAGCGTCGTATTCTGTGTGGCAAGCCTGTATCAAGAAGAGTACAGTGACTATTCTACTGCAGGGGAACACACACAAACACAGGATTGGACTATCCATCAACTTCCAACACTTAGGAATATTTCTTTTTCCAATAACGACAAATTAATGAATATTTGCCTGTTTAATATCATGAAATAATACCTGCAGTAAAGTCAAGTGTAAAAACACAAAAAAATCCCTTCTTGCTTAGATTCCAAATATGGCCTGCTCCAGTTGCCCATTATGCCTCCCCAGTTACTGCATGCCAAATAAATAAGCAGAATGACGGTATTTCACTGGAGAACAACATGACTACATTCTTCTAACATACTTCCAGGCACTTGAAGAATCAATGTCAATGTCTACATACTCCACAACAAGGATGGGTTAGCATTAGCTCTGTTTGGACACAATTAATTTTACTTAAGGGGGGTCTGTATGTAGCCAGTTAAGTGATTTGTCAGGCTGATTTGAACAGTTAAGGAGGAGAATTAGAGGTAAGGAGCCCGCACTGATACAGCGCGTTACCGCACCCACCATGCGACAAGCCACCTCAGGAATGAGAACCTGAGTGAAGCCATGCACCGGGTGATACCTCAGCACCACATTATGGACCAGTGAGAGTTTTTTTCCAGTGGCTAGAGTGCCAGTCCTGCCACCAACCCCCAAGTTTTTCTCTAAGTTGGACAACCTCCTCACAGGGCTGGATGTAAATAATGTCATACCCAGGACGAAGCAATTACAGGTTAAGGACCTTGCTCAAGGGCCCAATGGAGTAGAATCACTCCGGACATTCGTGGGATTTGAACCAGCAACCATCCAGCTGCTGCCACAGATCCCTAGTCCCAGAGCCACACAGAGTTAAAGAAACGTGTAAATTCTCCAATGGATCAGAGAGAGGAGATAAAACGAATCCCATCTGATGATGTTAATGTCAGAGTTAGTATGTCTATAAAGCAAATGACAAGAGGATTTTCACTTCTGCATGACCTATCCCTTTAACATACTGGTCATACATAGGAACAGAACTTTTTCCTCATACAGTAGGTTACAAATTGGTGTACTGAGTAGTGATGTTCTGCTCTACACCTGTGGAAAACCTGACAAGGTCTCCAGGAGGAAACTAATCCCTGTTGTCAAATATTTGAGAAGATGTATAAAATCCAAAACACATCTTGAAATTGGAGTTAGGGGCAGAATATCCCCGCAAATGTGAATATTTGCAAAAACTATATAAAAACCATTATAAAAACTGCAAAATTAATAGCAATGAAAGGTTTTAAAGTTACTGCGAGAAACATGAGATATAATGGTCACGGAGACAGGTAAGCCATGGCTGCGGCTGGTCACGGAGACAAAGATGTACAGCATACCCAACCAAGATCCCACATTTTTTCAATTTACCAAAAATAACTTAATATTAAAGATAAAGAATACACTCACACTAACAAATACTGAATAACATTAATATTTATATATATGATATGGTTTTATGTAATCTAAATCATTTTTAGTATTGTTTATATAGCTATTTTTGGGTCATGCGTCATCTGAAAGTTTCAGATTTTTCAGTAAGTTCTAAAAATATTCCCATAATTGTTCATTGCCAACTCGTGAATAAGCAAAACTGCAAATGTCAAATTTGTGAATCTGGAGGGGTGACAGTATTTGTGCTCTTCCTGTTCTCTAATAGGTTGACAGTTTGGCCTGAAGATTACCTCCACTGTTTTTTGCATGAGCTCTGCATGTGCTTTCTGAGCCAACCAACCATTTTGGTCCTTGCTCACTCGCATCGCAGTGTGACGCATTTGTGATAAACCTAAAAAATGTCTTTCACTAGATGGAAATGTTTTGGTTCCACAGAGAAGATATTAAGCAAAAGCAAGTGATTTGTCAATACCACTATGTTGGTTGGCACAACTCACAGCAACAAGTGTACAAGAGAATCTGATGCTGATATTAATTTTATAAGTACATTTAGGTTGTTATGGTTCTTAAAATGTTCTGGAAATTCATGTTCAGTGGAATGTGTCCTTAATGAAATTTTAAGAGAATTGCTGGTGTACCAGTAGAGACTTTTTGGTGAGTAAACCAGATCATGAACTATCGACTAAGCTGTGCATCTTTGTCTCTGCACTGACATGACAAGAAATTATCATGAATTTTAACCTTTATATGCTAATTCGTGCCTCATTTGTGGTATAGAGGTTAAAATGCGCGGTAAATTCATGTTATATAAAATATGCAAGCATTTGCACTGTTACCACAATCGATTGCCACATGCGTCACTTTTAAAGGGAGTGCGTACTTGTGTATCGATTATATGCATTCCTGTCTATAGTTTATACTGGGTAAATTTTTAACTAATGTTTTGTTTTATACATATCGTAACAATCTCAAATCTCTTTCATTCATTCATATCATTATGTGTCTCAATACACCAGGGCCTCATACCTGGGCATGACACTGCCATTGAACTGCATCTTCCGGAAGGTCTCTGCATACTGAGGCAGCTCCACGTAGGTGTTGAGCCAGTCCTCCACATCGTCCATTGTCCAGTTGTACACTGTTGGTGAGGAGAGAACAGGACTCAGTGTCCCAGCATCTCTACATGCTTCACCAAAAATCCCATTACTGGCCATAGGAAAATACCATTTCAGATTGACTCACCGCCCCAAAATCTGCAGGACAAACACTCTACAGTATCAGGACTAAAGAGGTGAGGATGGAATACTCAGGTCATCACCTTGCAACAATTCATATTAGGCTGCATGATTCTAAAAAAAACATGAATCAGATTTTTTTTTTTTTTTGCTTAGAATCGACATCACGATTCTCTGTAACAATTTAATTTTTCTCAAATTTAAATATTTATGGCACTAAACTGCAAAAGGAAACAACAAAACATTATTGTCCCAAAAATATGATTCATCCAGGACCAGCATATCAACTTCTGGCAGCAGAAAGGAAACGCTCAACTGGCCATTCAATTAGGGTAACAAAAACAGCCATACTAAAAGTTCCAGTTCTAAAAGTGCCACTGAGTTACTTTTTTGGTACTCAGACACGGACAATATAAGTTTTTCCTCCATTTCGTTTTCTGTGCCCGGTTCGGTGCCGTGATTCTATTGATTGCGAGACAATGCGTCACAGCTCGCACCGGTTCATCTTTGACCACAGTGCTCGCACGAGCTCCGTGAGCGGCGCGCCGCACGGAGCGCAGCGTAGCGTATGCCGCGTTCGGTCTGAAACCGGCTGTAGCCTATTAAGGACCATATACGCCTGATTATGGTAGGGTTGGAACGAAAACATTCTGGCAGGTGGGGCGCCAGGAACAGGATTGAGAACCACTGCTTTACAGAGAATGATGGGATGCTTGAGACTCTCTGGGGAAAAGTAGGAGCGCTTGTTTTTATCCAGCTGATGTAATACAATGCAAAAGAACCATTGTAATTTAGAAATAAGATCGCATAGAGGTGTGAATCGAGATCAAAGACTTTTTTACGATTAATTGTGCAGCCCTAATTTATATGTAGGAGTATTTCTACTAATCGCCGAATTGCACGGGCACGGAAGTGTGCAGGGGAATCCTACTTGGAAACATCAGTGACAGCACATTACAAACTCCAGGCAAGGACATCAGCAGGCCATTTCCTCAAGACAAACAGAGAAGGGAAGACCTATCCCAGCAGCCTCACTGGCAGACATCTGCATGGACTATTGCTGCAGGCTGCCAGCTGTCTGTCCTGAGCTCTAATATGACGCTGAGTAAAAGAAGAAAATATGCAGTAAAAAAAGGTCATACCCTTATGTCAGAAGCACACAGAAATCCATCAGGACTTAACACACGTCTCCCACACTAATATCTGCCCTCATCTTCCAGCAGGTCTGCATTACTTCCCCATTCTCCAGGGTTTTGCAAGTTTACAAAACATAAAATCTTAAGTCTTTTTACAGACTGCTGAAAACTAAGAAAAGAAAAGCAAATGGGTGGCTGCAACCAGCAGAAATATCTGAAATGCAGGCTCCAAAACGTAGATTTGTGTTCTGGTTATGTGTCAGTTATGTTGGATCTTTGGATAAAATCATACCTTAAAGTTGTATACTTGTTGTATAAGTTGTATAACCTGACTACTCATTAGCTAAATACTTAGCAGAATTCATTAACATTCTGTGTAACTGTGAAGTTTTTGTCAGCATTTATTAAAAAACATCCATGATGATGAACCTTCTGTTCAACAAAGCAGGGGATGATTAGATAATGTTAGCTAGCCAAGATAAACCTTTTTTCCTTATTATGGGCTACTCCACAAAGCAAGTGCAGACCAGTTAGCCAAGAAAGTTTAAAAGTTTCTACAAAATATGTTGTCAGGTATCCCGACGACTGGCCACATATGAATCCATGGTGCACTGGTCCTTCGGTAAGTTGTTCAGATTCCTGTCAAGTCCAGCTGCCTTTAATTTAAGCAGATACTTGTTTGTTTTGCAGTGTCCCCCACTAAAATCAGCAATGTTGCAACATGTTTTGCCACTCAGTCCCTCTGAAGGTTCCGGTGAGAAAGTCACATCAGTGCATACCCTTTATAAGCACCCACTCCCTTCCCAGGGGAAATCCAGGGGTGATACCCTTCTTAGATTTAATTTATATATCTCATAATGACGCACTAACAGCACATTTTTCCTTTCTCAATAGCCCTGTGACGATATCACACCCAAGAAGTCTCTCTTTAAGCCAGGGTTCCAGGTTCAAATAACAACACTCTCATTGCTGGATTAGATTACAGCAGTCTCATTCCTGGGATTCAGATGTCACACTATTGACTGTCCAACTCTGCCCTCATTGTTGGGTTACAATCACACATTATCTACACCATTGAAAGGGCTAGCAACTGTATAGGACCATCAGGAAAAAAGCTTTCCACAGTGAAATTGAGGAGGTGTTGGCGTGACATGGATTTGCCCAGTAACGTATGAATGTGGGTGTGACTACAGGTCATGTGTGTGTGCTATCCATAGGGATCAATTACAATTTGGCAGCTGCAAGTCGATTAAAAACATTTCTCAATCAATTAATTCATATTCCAAACAATTATCCTGGTCAGGGTGATGAGGGCCTGGAGTTTATCCCAGACGGCACTGGGCACAAGCCCGGGTACACCTCCTATTGGATACCAGTCTATCGACACACGCACTGCTTTTGACAATGTATTTTATTTGTCAACAATAAAATATTCATTGGCAGGGAAGTGCATTTGTGAGAAAATGCTGCAAGTTTATGAGGGCCAGGGAATTTCTGAATGATAATCAGGTACTGCTTTAAGAGCTACCCAAAAGATGTCGAAATACAGTGATAATGACCAACCTCCCATTCATCCAAGATAATAAAGATGATGTGCAAGACCTATGGATGTAAAGAAAGAAAACAGAGGTGTACCTTCAGAACCCTTCCAAGCTTTCCATAGGTCCTCCACACTGATGAATTGGTCATCCCCGTGGAAGGTGTTGTGCTTAGCCTTGGGGTCATGATAATTCAGGTCCTCCCTCAGGAACTGTGGTATGTGGATAAGGACGAATGGGAAAGTAAAGACAAACAGAGTCAAGTTAAGCAAACATGGGGGGGAGGCGGGTTTGCTTCAGTTCTGTGTGTTGAGCTCAAAACGAACACACAAACACATTGGCTAAATGACTGAACTCAGACTTGACTGGGCCTGAGTGGAAGCCGAAGTCTGGGACCTTTAGAGCCGACGGAGTGTTTGCATGTGGATGGCAATATATATATATATATATAAGGATATATATATCTCTATCTGTCAGCTGACTGTTTGCTCATGCAACAGACAAGGACAGACTTAACAAGAACTAGCATAACTGATACAGAGCAAACAAGTTATTTTCCTAGATGGCAAAACGAATAAAGGGGTAACAAAACTGATATTCACTTCCAGTCAGATATTTTACAAGCCATGAACAGAAAGGATCAGTTTTCGGATATAGAACCAACACAATATAATACATCTGAACACACACAAACAAACAAAACAAGCAAACAAATAAAAACAACAAGCCTCACAGGCTTGAGTACAGTATATCATTTTATTTTTTTTTTTTTACAGACGCTGTTCTGGGTCTTTATTTTACTACCCATATAAGGGAGTTAGCTGTGTATAAAAAATGCAGTTTTGGGCTCCATAAGCTAAGCAACTAATCCAAAAGAAAAAACCCACAATCAGGTTAACATTAAGTAAGTTTCACAGAAATCTAAACACTTCCTCCCACATGACTTCCTCAGGCATTCTCCGCTTCAGAGAGTTTCCAGTGTCACACGTATACCAGATTAAAGTCATTCCCTACACAGATATGACTTGTGAACCGTTCTGCTGTTCAGTCCGTCAGGTCAGTAAGGTCCCCATTTTGCTGCTTTTGCTCACATGCCAGCTGTATACTGCAGCTTCCTTCACACCCAAACAGGAACACAAATGGAGCAAACATATGAGAAGCTCTGGGGTTGAAAGCAATGATTGTACTCCGCTGCGATTGTGCCACCGGCGATGGGAGACAGGGTTGCTGCATATGCTCTGCAGACAAAGTATCCACTGACTGAATGACAGTGAGATCGCATACTGAAAACTTCCTACAACATGGATGTTCTAAGAACTGTGGGGGGGGGGGGGGATCCAGAGTTGTCTCCAGCTTGAAATGTAGCTCCCTGGCAGTAGGATATATAGGCTGATGGGGTCTGAAACTGAATAAATCTGGGAAGATAAACAGACAGACATCCTGCACAAAATCTTAACAGTGAAGACATTCTCCCATAAGACTGTCTTTATGTGAAATTCTTACCTCTAGACAGGATCCACACAGTCTTTCTGCAATTTTAGTTCATTATTAAACACTAAGATTATTATCCCCTACTTTAACAATATAGCAAATATGCTCTATAAATGTTATAAATTGTGCTGTTTCTGCTCCTTTGATGCCTTTTTAAAAATCTCCCAAAAGATGCATATCTGTTATGTACTGAGATACACATTTATATTTGTTCCTGTAATTTTCAGATGCATTTGATGTCACTTGCCTAAGTTGTCCCAAAAACTTGTGCCACGGCAGACAACTGGGACTTAACAGCTTACATTTGGTGTTTACCTTTAATTGGGCATGAAAGAAAATGTTTACATCGTTACTGAACCAGAATTCAGAAAAACCTCTTAAAGGCCCAGTGTACAAAAAGATACATTAAAAAGCAATAATCTAGAAATTGATTTATAAATGTCAAATACTAACATCTGACAGGCTGTGAAGCTGACAATTTTGGGAGGGTGCTATTGACAAATGCTTGGTTATCAAAACTTGTCTTTTTTTCGTTTTGAAAGTATACATTTTATGAAATTTTATTTTTTACCAGCCTATATTGTCGAAAGTGACAGGGATTAGAGAACAGGGTCAGACAATCCCTGAAGCAACTAGGGCCCAGCAGTGAAATCACTCAACCAGCCATGGGATTTAAATCAGCGACCTTCCTAACCTGCTGAGCCACGCACGGCCAAAATGCAAATTTCACGTTTCCTTCGGGGGGCATTTAATAGTCACACAAAAACACCACGTTAAGCCGGTATCAAGCAGATAAGCCTCTCATAGACCATAACTTGTGTCATACATTATCAACACTGAAATATAGACAAACCAAAAAAAAAAATATCAGAATCCAAAGTAATTTCCACCAAGTTCACAGCTGTGCATTTTTTAATCCAGTGTTTCTCAAACCAGTCCTCGAGGAAGCCCTGACGGTCCAAGTTTTCACTCCCTCCAAACTCTAAGGGAAGCAGTAACATGAAGTATCTCTGTGTCCCAGAGGATTGGTTGGAAAAACACTTTAAATCTGAATTAATTTTTAATTAAGGTTATTAATCAGAGGGGCAAAATCTTGATTACATAGTAGTATCTCAATGTTATTACTGCTATAGTATATACTGTACATTGAGCTTTCTGAAATCGATCCATGTATCAATAAGTACAGGCTTCAGACTAAGAGGAGTCTCACTGTGAACTCATTATCTTCTAGGTCAAGATCCCCCGTGTCCCTAGGCATGACACTGTCTGCCACAGGTTTTCTGGGTTAATTTAGTAACAGGGACAAAGGAATGAACCAAGAAGCCCTCGTGAACAGACAGGAAATGGCACATATGCAATTCTCTCAAGAGCTATAAGAATGACTAAACAGAATTAAACTTGTTGCTAGCCCCTATCTGAGTATTTTCATTTATGTGCCCACCCAATCAACACATGTAGCTGTCTAACTAAAAGTAACACAAAACCTACACAAACTACAGTGTTAAACAGAACAAAGAAAAACATGAGCACTGATGTCACAGGCAGAGTCCAATAATAAATAATAATAAAGGTATCTACCATGAAAAGCTCAAAATGCAACATCCACATCTGTACCCATTTGCATAAATGGGAACAGATTCCAAAGTTTGGTTCAACTGTAATACAACAAAGTGCTTAATAGCTAAATTCAAACAAAACACAAAGAAAATGATTAAAACGAAGGTGTTTTCCCCAAATCCTACTGTAGCATATTTTAAGGACATAAAATATACAGTTTTGCAAGCCCGCCTTTCCTGTAATGCTTTTCAGCAAATGAAAACAGCAAGATACTTTAATGCCAAAACGATTCATTCAAGCACAATAATACCATTAACTGGAAATTAAAGCGGCTGTTTGTTCACACTACACTGAACCGTACTTTCTGGGCTGCTAATCTGTGCCGCTGATACAATTAGGGCATACTGTTATGTTGTTAAACACGGAGGCTCTCAACAGGAGAGTGCAGCTGAACATCCACTCCAACTGAGATGACTTGCTAACCTATTCAACGCTGATTCTCCAATTGAAGAAACAGCAGGTTATTTTTGACAAATGGGTCACCTACCATAGAACATTCGAGAATGTGCTATGGAATGTCACTCAAAAGCTGACATGCATATATTCCAATTACCTTCAACTGTAGTGCACACAATATAAAGTAACTCCAGATTTCATCACCTAATGCGGCTTCAGCGAACAACTTTGGGGAGGTCAAGGTTTGACAGGACTCAAATAGCTCCCAGAAGCATAGGAAATTCAGAGAGCTACTGACCTCATACAAATATGTATGTATGTTGATGCTTCCATGTCCCACTCTCGCCAGTGTGGGGAAGCAATAAAAAAGGCGAACAGAATGTTGGGTTATATCTCTAGATGTGTGGAGTTTAAGTCAAGGGAGGTGATGTTACACTTATATAATTCCTTGGTAAGACCCCACCTAGAATACTGTGTGCAGGTTTGGTCACCATACCACAAGAAGGACATTGCTGCCTTAGAAAAGGTGCAACGAAGAGCTACGAGAATGATTCCTGGTCTTAGAGGAATGACTTATGAGGAGAGGTTAGCGGAACTGAATCTGTTTAGCCTTGAGCAAAGGAGACTAAGGGGGGATATGATTCAGGTCTATAAGATTCTAACGGGTCTGGATGCTGTTCAGCCAAATGACTATTTCAATATTAGTCTAAATACTAAAACTCATGGCCATAAGTGGAAATTAGCGGGAGAACATTTTAAAACAAATTTGAGGAAGCACTTCTTTACACAGCGTGTAGTTAGAGTATGGAATAGTCTTCCTGCTAGTGTAGTGGAAGCTAAAACCATGGGTTCCTTTAAATCAGAGCTAGATAAGATTTTAACAACTCTGAGCTATTAGTTATAAGTTCTCCCCAAACGAGCTTGATGGGCCGAATGGCCTCCTCTCGTTTGTAAATTTCTTATGTTCTTATGTTCTTAAATCCCACCCAGCTCCAAGATGTGACTCACTGAAAGCTGACAGCAGCTTCTGCTTCAGCCACAAACAGAAGCTTTGACTCTAATCCCAGTGATGTTTATTCTTCCTTAAAAACATCGGCCAGGTTTCTTATCTATTCTCTGATTACCCTTTTTGTGATAGAGGTTGATAAATACAATGCATTTCAAACCATAAAACATGCCACACTTTTTTGACATTTGTGACCAAAGCAGTAGTTACATCATTTTGTCTCCCTTGTCACCCCACTACACGTTTTGGGAAACATTCCAGAAGTCATTTCAAATGCCACATATTTAATTAAAAACATTATTAGAATTAATAGAATCTCTTTATCAAACAATCCATCCATCCATCCATCCATCCATCCATCAATGAATGACTCCATCCTCATAGCCCTTGTCCAGCTGAGGACCTTGACAAAGGCTACTACTGAAATACAAACCACTTCTAAACCAGCACTGGGTTTAGAAGATGCGCTAAAAATCCTAGAAAGTATATCTTTAATCACAAAGCGTTGTGGGACTGAAGGAAAAATGGAAAGAGCAAAGTACACATACTACAGTTTTTGGCAAAACCTAAACCAATGGCCTGAAGAGTGATTCAAGAACAATAGAGAATGTCATTTGGAGGCTTTTACTCACAGCTTGAATCCTATGATCAACCTGGGTAATCGCGTGGGAGTTCTTCTCATTAAAAGTGAATGGAAATGCAGTCATTGTGGAACATAAATATCATAAAAGCATGACTGCAATGCAGCAACATCTTAAAAGAAGACGTTGATGGACTCACCCACTAATGCAAGGTTAACCGTAGATAGCCATGTGCTCTTTAGCCTCAGGGTGGGGTATAATACAGAGCGAGTTTTACATGGTCAAGTTAACTCACTAGTGTTGGGTTAAACTCCAATTTCCACAGGCAGTGGTAAACAGCATTACGAGGGAGATTATCAACTCAGTATATTAACTCAGAGTTTGTCAGTGTGCGTTCACATAAAAGGTGTGGTGCTGGCGTAAGTTAGTGATTCAAACTAAAAGCTACCCAGTCTAGTTAAAGGACACGTTTTATGCATGTATTAAGCTGAAAGCCTGCACTTAAAAGTGCTTGCAGTAGGTTATGCGTGCAGCGTAAATTACCTTGACAATATACCCCGTTTAAAAGTGAACTATAATTCGTAGTAGCCAAAACTCAGAAGTCAGCCTTAAGAAATCTCACTGAGCCAATAAACCAGCTTCGGAGTACAACCAGCAGGGCTTTAGATAGATAGATGCTTTATTGTCATTGTAAGTACAATGACATTTAGTTTGGAACACGCCAGCAGATGCACAGTATATTTACAATTAAATAGACTCTGAGGCATAAATAGAAGAGAGTATGTACAGAAACTATAAATGTACAAGAAGTGGAGCCTCTGAAGTCTTTTTTTGGCTATGGCTGAAGTGTCTGTGGTCCATGACAAGTCACAGCTGATCTGAACCTGGAGGAATCAAAAGCTCTGAACCACCTTCACCTTCTCACCACCGATGCTGATGGGGTGGTGGCCCCCGTGCTTCCGTCTCCTAAAGTTCTTTTGTCTTTTTTTTTTAGTTCAGGTCGAGGTTTTTGTCCTGGCTCCAGCACTATAGGTTCTCGACCTCTTCCCTGTAGGCTGACTCGTTGTTGTTTGAGATCAGACCTATCACAGTTGTATCGTCTGGAAACTTAAATATGATGTTAGAATCATGGGTGGGTTTGCAGTTGTGTGTGAAGAGGGAGTAGAGGAGGGGGCTGAGCACACAGCCCTGAGGTGCTCCTGTGTTGAGAGTGATGGAGGTGGAGGTGTGGTTACCCATGTGCACTGTCTGGTCTGTTGGTCAGAAAGTCCAATACCCAGTTGCACAAGTGAAGGTTTAGTCCAAGGTTGTGCAGTTTGCTGGCCAGCTTGGTGGAGGGGATGGTGTTAAAGGCGGAGCTGTAGTCGATAAACAGCATCCGCACGTAGCTGCTCCAGGTGTGGGTAGCCTAGGTCATGCTTGTCATCACTTTGGTTTAAAATTATTCAAGTTCATTTACTGTCTATAATTCCCACCTGACTGCTGTGTCTTTTGTGAACAAATTGTGCCAAACAGCATAAGAAAAGGTTCACATTGCAATATCTGAAATCTTGCACTAAATATTGCAATATTTATAAAATTAAAAAGGTACTGAAAAATTAATTAAAATACAAGTTATTATCTATCAATAAAGTTTATTAAATAAGTTGGTGTTGCAAACTGTGCTGACAAATCACTTGCTTTTGCTCAATATCACCTCTGGAAAACAGCGGAAGATAAATTTCTTTTGGTGACCAGTTCGCTTTTCTCCTCCTCACTCTTGTCAAATTTCTCACAAACGTACCACACTGTCAGAGTAGGTCCAAGATCAAGGAAGAATATTATGATTGGCTCAGTGAGCCCATGCAGAGCTCATGCAAAAGCAGTGGCCGTAAACTTTAGACTTTTTTTTTTTTAAATGCATACGAGAAGTCTTCAAAGAAATCATCAAGTTTTGTTTCCTATGATAGAATAAAATGTCTGACAGTATCCTGAGTGACCAAATAGAGTACAGGGATTTGAGAAAGATTGCAAACTACATGTCAGGGCCTTAAATCACTTATGTTTGGTACAAGCAAACTTGCGACCATGTGTGAATGACAGCATTGTGGTCTCCCAGAACTTACCCCATCAGTCTCCAAGACGTCCACATTGCCATTGGCGTCGTCATCCATCTGCTTGTGGATGTTGCGTATGGCATCAAAGCTGAGGCGGGCGTTTTCATCCTGGCACAGCGGCTCGTCAATGCGGCAGAAGTCTGGAGGGCAGCGAGACGAAACATAGCAAAGATACCACTTTGAAGGCCTCACAGAAAAGGTAAACAGGCTCATGATTGGCATCTTGGCTATCACTTAATTCACTTAGCTTAATATCAATAACATCCATACTTCGCTACCATACTACTATATGGGGCTAAACAATACAAACCAAAAACCATATCATATTTTTTAGACAAGAGCGATACACAATACATATCTGAGTACAGACACTCCTCTACTTACGAACCTTCAACTTACGAACGAAGAGGACTGCAAGTCTAAATTGCGTTCGTTAGGTTTCTGTTCCCTGTCCGCAACATCAACAAGTTTGTTCTGCGCACCAATTCCACCTAGTGCAAATGCTGGCCGCTACACCCAGCATAGCGTGGGTACTCCCAGCATCCCAGTTCTTTGTACTTGCATATTAGTAAGACGTGCTCTCTTGAGATCAAAGTTTACTTAGTTTTTAATTGCAAAATATTCTGTGCATCCATTATCCATTTTTGTTTTATGTATAATTAGTAATGTGATTTAGGATAAGAAAACATGTATTGACTTTATATCATACTGTCATGCCCCGGTCGTCCGAGCTTCCCGTGTGCCAAGCCCCCTCATTTATCTTGTGTGGAATCCCCATGTAACCACCTGTTTCAAATCATGTTGATTGTTGCCGTGTATTTAAGTACACATTAGAGTATGTTTCCCCAGTCCAGTCATTAACATCTTGACGTCGTTTTCATGTTCCTGAGTGTGTTCCAGGGCTGTGGAGTCGGTAGATAAATGCTCCGACTCCGACGTTTCTAAATCTTCCGACTCCGACTCCCCGACTCCAACTCCTCTGTATGTATATACTATGCTAATGTATTTTCTACATCCATTGAAGGAAAGGAAGACAACATACATGTCATTTCACCTGTGTTCTCTGTTCTCGGCTCCTTCGGCCCCCTTCACTAGCGCATAGCGAAGGGGAGCCGACGGAGCTGAGAACACACCAGATGATTTTTCAGGCGTTTGACGCATGATGACTCGTTGAACGGCCGAAAAATCGGCAGTGCATCTG